TCCTCCTCCTCCTCCACCCAGGGCCCCTCCTGAACCCAGAGTGGTCCTTCTTTCAGCGCCTTGGCTGTACGCCAGTCTTGCTGGATACGGCCGCCGACTCCGTCGGCGCGCGCGAATGGGAGTCCTGGGGTCGCCGCCCGGTCTCCAGTCGAAGCTGTCTCCCGCTTGCCCTGCGGCCGCCTGGCCCCTTCTGGATCGGGAGTCGAGCCAAGCCGCCACGGAGTCGAACGCAGACCCCTTCCGTTGGATCCCTTCCCCGCCGGGTGTGTTTGTGTGTGTGTGTGTGTGTGAGAGAGCGTGTGTGTGTGTGTGTGTGTGTGTGTGTGTGTGTCTGGGGACCCGGGGTGGTCCAGGGGGAGGTACCCTCTCCCCCGCCCCTGCTCTCCCTGGAGTCACTCGGGCGATCTTGGAGCCCTGGGACACACAAGTTCATGAGCACAAATCCTAGGAATTCCAATCTTTTTCTATATCTTCCAGGTTCTCGTCTTCCCCCCACTTCCCATATCTTCCCATATTTTCCTGGGGGTCGACGATTAGTTGTGTCTGTGTGTCTTTTCCCCTCCAGGAGCCGATCTGGCGATCGTTAGGCCCCCTGGGCCCGCTAGGGCCGTCTCGGGGCCACCCTCTGCCGACGTCGGCGCTCTCAAAGGTCTTCCAGGGCGTCTTGGAGACCCTGGGGCCCACTGGGGGCCAGCCCGCGAGGTCCATATTCGCTAGAAATCTTTGAACGTTTTTGCAAACTTGCGGCTTTCTCGCGGCAACGGTCACAAGAGCGGCCAAGACGGCCCCAAGAGGCTCCCAGGACGGCCTGAAAAGGGCTCAAACAGCGCGCTGCCACTGGGCCGCTGAAGCCAATCCCTCCAGCATGATCCCAAGCGGGCCCGACAACCCCTCAGGAGCCCCCCAAGAACTCCCTCCCATAAGCCCTGAACATGCCCTCAAGGTTTCCGAAATCCAGCCAAAGCGCAGTGGCGGTATGGGCCGGAGGCCGCTATTTCGCCCCCGCGTGAAAGCCGCCGCTGCCCCTTGCTTGCGTCCCCCTTTCACCTCTTGTGTTTTTTCCGTTTGTCGTCCCCGAGCTTTGGAATCCCACGGATTCTGGAACTGGCGCCCCCCTGGCGCGAAAGACAGCGAGTTTCTGAACGCCTTGCCCTCAACAGAAGCCTTGCCTGCTCTCTCCACGCTATGACAAGACCTCAGCGCCTACGTACAATATGAGCGTGCGTCCGTGCAAGCACTCAGCGCCCGCGGACGTTCATGCGCTCAATCAACGCAGCGCGACCAGCAAGCAAACACCAACGTGAATGGCGCCACGTCTCTGCAAACCTGCACGTTTGCAAAGTTGTTGAACCGTGCGCATCCGTGGAGAAAGATTCCTAGGCGGTGGCAGATCAACATGCGATCCCTAATTGTCCCTACCAGACTTAATTTCCCTGAAAGGCCGATATCAATTACATTTTACACGTGTTGCAGAGATCGTGGGCATCGCTGTCAACACGGCAACGACGACAACGTCACTGTCCGATCGCTGATCGTGCCAATATAGCGTCGACACGGCTGTGGCAAACGAATGAATCGTTTTCAACCGGGGAGCTCCGCGATGTCGTTACCCTGCCTCGATTGCGCATGTACAATAAGGGCCCGACCACAAGAAACCTTCCACGAGAAACTCAACCCTGAGACCCCAGGACGTCCATTGATTTTGGGTGTGGGAACGTTAAGCTTCCCATAGCAAAACCATCGAAACCCAAGAAACCCAGGGCACCCCGGAGGCAAGCAGTGTGTTTCTTGGCATGGATCTCCACTGTATCATCGCCAGAATAAGGGATCATGTTGACGTGCTCGACGCTGTCCTCGAGACAGCTTTTGAGCCCGGTGCCCAGAATCCAGAACCACCAGCCCTGTGCTAACCTAGCCAGCACCAGGCTTGCGACTCCAACGCCTGCTCCGATCTTCCACCTCTCGACGAGCATCGGCACCTCAGCGGCCACCAACCGTTCTGCAAACAGCTACGCGATGATCGGATTAACCAAATACCGCGATGACTATCGCAAGCTGATCGCGCGTTATACGGCCACACGATCATGTGACCGCCGACCGTCGCGATCGCTACCATCGACCACGTGATAGGATCTGCACCCCGACAATCTGGGAGACGAGATAGAAGATGCCCAATGCGTCTGACAGTAACGTCCAGACTGCAGAGAGCACAATCAATACGTCGATAATGCCTATCGGCAGGACGAGGGTAGTGAGCACCTCGGGTGATCGAAAATGCCAGTCCTTGATAGTGACGTCGAACGCGCACCTTAGTTGGGATACCATAGCCCTCGCAGACGCGGACAGGAGGAAAGGGCTGTTCTGGGCTATGGATCTGTCGGTCGAGAAGAAAGACTACCGATGAGATACTCGTGCTATTGTTTTGTTGTGTGCATGTCTGTGTCTCTGGGCCCCAGGATCCTGAGCGCTTTTGGGGCGTTTCGCGTGGCTTCTGGGACGAGCCCCCGCCACGAGGCCCCAAGAGGCCCTCCACCCCCCTCCCGATGCCCCCCCAAGATGCCTCAAGATTGCCCAAGAGGGCTCCACACGGCCCACGAGAGGCGTTCCGCAACCCGGGTAAGGTGGCGGCCGGCCCCCCCAAGATGAAACATCCAAGGCCGAAGAAGCCCGACTGGACAGAAACATCATCACAACATGATCGACCCAGGAACCCGGAAAGGAATATAGAAATGTAAGGCATGGCAACGTTACAAAAACGCCTGATTGGGTGACGGGCAAATGCAATGCTGAATGTATCGATCTTGATGTACTGTGCCGAGGGCTGTGCTGTGCTACGCCGTGCTGAACTGCGATGTGCCATGCCGCGATTGTGCTCTATATAGCGTTGTGGATCGAGTCCTCCCTGGCATCCGAGTCCTGACCGAACTGATCAGAATCTTAAGCTCGAGCTGCCTGAGCAGATGGTAGCTGCCCCAGAACTAATCGACAGAGGGGACATGCCAGGAGGACGCGCCGCGGGAAGTCCCAAGGGACGCGCCAGGCGACGTGCCAGGGGACGTGCCATGGGCACGCACCGCGGGACGTGCCAAGGGGACGTGCTACTGAACGTGCCAATGGACGTGCCGCGGGACGTGCCAGGGGACGCGCCGCGCCACGTGCCAGGGGGACTTGCCATGGAACGCGCCAAGGTGCAATGTTGAATGTATCGATCTTGATGTACCGTGCCGACGGCTGTGCTGTGCTGGGCCGCGCTGAACTACGATGTGCCATGCCGCGATTGTGCTCTATATAGCGTTGTGGATCGAGTCCTCTATGCATCCGAGTCCTGACTGAACTGATCTGGATCTTAAGCTCGAGCTGCCTGAGCAGATGGTAGCTGCCCCAGAACTAATCGACGGGGGGACATGCCAAGAGGACGCGCCGCGGAACGTCCCAAGGGACGCGCCAGGCGACGTGCCAGGGGACGTGCCATGGGCACGCACCGCGGGACGTGCCAAGGGGACGCGCTACGGAACGTGCCAATGGACGTGCACCGCGCGACGTGCCACGGGGACTCGCCACGGGACGCTCCGCGGAACGTGCCAAGCAACATGCCAGGCTGCAATGCTAAGGGTATCGATATTGATGTACCGTGCCGAGGGCTGTGCTGTGCCTGGGCGACCTGGACACGTGAAAACACGCGTTTCGCTCAAGACGTTCTCAGCACATCCTCATGCTAGACATCCGCCTGGGCAGCCTGGACACGTGCAAACAAGCGTCTTGATCGAGACTTCCTCGACACATCCTCATGCTAGGCATCAGCCTGGCCGAACCGGACACGTGAAAACAAGCCTCTGGTTCGAGACATCCTCAACAAATCTTCATGCTAGACATCTGCCTGGGCAACCTGGAGGCGTGAAACCAAGCGTCTCGCTCGAGACGTCCTCAAGACCTGGGCACGTGAAAACAAGCATTTCACTTGAGAGATCCTCTGACTTCAGGTCTCCATGAGAGGACAATCTATAACACAAAACAAGCGTTTCGCTCGAGTCATCCTCAACAAATTCTGAAAAACAAGCGTTTCGCTAGGGACATCCTCAAATTGTAATTCGCCGGCCCACCTCGACCTCGATATTCATCGTAAAAGAAATTCGCCGGCACACCTCAAGCCAAACCCGGGAAGAAACAAACTGAAAGAAAACCCTGGGCTTAAGCCCTTTCCGGGAAAAAGCGAGCCAGCTTGGACTCCGAGCAATGTGTTTCTGGCAATATAGACTATGCAGTGTATGTGGAGCGATCCGTGTTGTGCAACGTATGCGTGCAATCTATGTTCAGAGGGGTGTTTGAACACTGATGAGTTTTGATGAACGAGTGCGCGCGCATACTATAAATATCGTATTTGTGGCAAAAAGGTCAAGGGGGTGGGCGGTACCTAGCTGGGAGAATCTTGATTCATATTTCGGATGGGCGAATGTGCAGAACCAATATGACAGCACAATACGCGAAGGGGGGCAGTTAAGTCCTGGGGGGGAGGCGGGTAGAGTCTAGATCTCGTTTAAAGAAGATCATGTGTTGTGCAACCTACGTTGTGCAATCTGGATTCTGCAACCTCTGTGGTGTAATCTGTGTCGTGCAACACCTGTGGTGCAATCCACGCTGTGCAATCTGTGTGGAACAGTACATGTGGCGCATTCTAAATTGTGCTATCTATGGTGTGTAATCTATGTTGTGCAGTCTACCTGGTAGAAGATAGGTGGTGCAAACCATGTGGTGCACTTCGCTCTGCCGAGCTTGCAATTGTCAGCTCCATTGCTCGCGCAATCACCCCGCCCACCCACCCGAGACTTGGTTTGTAAAACCCATGCGGCGGTGATTGCGATGCGTCCTTGGCGCTGGCTGGCGCATCGCTGCGGCCGCGCTAGCGCGCGCAGGCTCGCGCTCAGAGCGGCCAACCAGTGTGGCGCGACCGACGCGGCCGCGGTGGCGCTGACCGCTGGTGACTTCCCAGCGCGTGTCATAGGCCGCGCTGACGCGCGGCCACTTCAATGCGAGTCGGTGAGTCTGGCGGGTGCGGTATCATTCCGACGCCGACAGCGGCAGACACGATGCTGTTTGTAGCGATGCTGGTGACGAAAATGACGACGATGACGACGGCAAGGCCAACAACGGCGCCGATGCTGATGACGTCGATGACCATGATGGTGTCCACGTGTCGGTGATGACGGTTGTGAGAAGATGTCGACATGCGCGCGAAACCTACGGGCGCGAGTGGCCCGCATGGTGCTATTTGGAAGGGGTCGTGCCCCCCCAGCAAGCGCCTAAGGGCGTTCGAGTAATTTCGACATGCGCGCGCGAGAGGCAAGTTCGGTCGAACTTAATCGACATGTAAACAGAACCGATGGTTTTCGCAACAATTCGCAAGAGCGCGCGCAACAATTTTGGACAATTCATGTTGCAATACCATGAAACATTGTTTTCGGGCCACTAGATGTCGTCATCCCTGCAAAGTATTTTTTGTTGTGGCTCTCTACAGATTTCGGCATGCGCGCGAAACGCCGCGCGCGTGCGCACTTCGTCACATTCTTTGCCGGGGGTTATTGAAAACGGATGATTTGTGATAAACGTATGTGCGCGCATAGTTTTTTGGCATAAGAGGACGGGGGGGATACTGGCATGGCTGGGGTCTATGAGTTCATATGTAACATGGACGATGGGGCAGAATCGCATGTAATTTGCCCCCTCCCAAGGGATAGCGATAAGTCCAGCTTCGGGAGGGTGGCAGATCCTTTTTCCTTTGTGCAAAGGAAAATCTGTATGATGCAATATCAATTGTGCTGTATATGGTGTGCAGTCTATGTGGTGCGAATTAATTTCTGTTCGCAATGAATTGTCCACTCCACTGCTCGCGCAACCATCCCACCCACCCACCCGCAACTTGGTTTGCAACATCTCTTAAGACCGTGAAGGTGGGTACCACATGGCACTTGGCAACAACAGCGACGCCGACGACGATAGCGACAACGACGATGACGACGCCGACGACAACGATTACGACGACACCGACGACGTCTCCAACGACTTCGACGACGCCGACAACGACGACGACGACACCGACGACGACGACGACGACACCGACGCCGACGACGACGATGACAACGACGACGACGATAACGACGCCGACGACGACGATAACGACGACACCGACGACGACGACGACGTCAACGACGCCGACGACGACGACGACGACGGCGGCGACGACGACGACGCCGACGTCGACGACCACGAAGACGACAACGACGCCGACGACGACGACGAAGACGACGACGACGACGTCGCCAACGAAGACAACGAGGAAGGAGGGAGGACGACGACGGCGACAACGACGACAACGACGAGGGAGGAGGGAGGACGGCGACGACGCGAACGACGAAGAAGGAGGAAGGACGGCGACGCCGACGACGGCAACGACGAGGGAGGAGGGAAGACGACGACGACGACGACACGACGACGACGACGACGGCGACGAAATAGGAGGGACGACGACGAGACGCCGACGACGGACGACGACGACGACGAGGGAGGAGGAGGGCGGACGACCACGGCGACAACGACGACGGAAACGACCACGACGCCAAAGAGGACGACGACGACGAACACGAGGAAAGACAGAGGACGACGTAGGCGACGACGACGACGACAACGACGCGGGAGGAGGGAGGACGGCGACGACGACGACGACGACGACGCAAGAGCGCGCGCGCACGCTTTTGTTGAAAATCCGTGTTGCGAAACCTTGTGTTTTTTTGTAGGTTTTTTGGACACACGATTTTGAAATCCTTCCGAAACCGATGGGTTTTGAAGGGCTTCGGCATACGCGCCCGACGACGCGCGCGTCTGCACTTCGTCCCATTTTTTGCAAGGGATTCTCGCGACGGCACACGCGCAAGGGCGTTCGACAGATTTCGACATGAGCGCGCGCGAAGCCCGTTTGGTAGCATTTCGTGAAAATCTTGAAAAACCTATGGTTTTCTTAAGATTTCGCAAGAGCTTTCGCGGAAGCTTTTTTAGCAACTCTGTGCTGCGAAACCATGTGTTTTTGTAGGTTTTTTGGGAACTCGATTGCGAAATCCTTCCCGCACCGAAGGTTTTTGAAGGATTTCGGCATGCGCGCGCGACGACGCGCGCGTGCGCACTTCGTCTCATTTTTTCGAAGGGGTTCTTGAAAAAGTGCTATGTTAGAACAAAAAATGTCACCACATAATGTTTTTTACAAGGGAACCTCAGGGGGGGGAAACCGGCCTGGCTGGGATGGTATGATTTCATATTTAG